TTTTAAGTGTTCTTTGTATAGTTCAGATAATAGTCCTTTATTACAGTGGTCCCCAACCTTTTTGGCACCAGGGACCAATTTCATCGAAGACCATTTTTCCATGGACTCGGGTGGGGCAGGGATGGTTTTGGGATGAAACTGGTCAACCTCAGATCATCAGGTATTAGATTCTCATACGGAGGGTGCAACCTAGATCCCTTGCATACACGGTTCACAGTAGGATTTGTGCTGCTATGAGCATCTGCCGCCACTGATCTGAAAGGAGGTAGAGCTCAGGCTCATCAGCAGCTTACCTTCTGTGGACGCTGATTCCACCCACACCATGGACTGGCACCGGTCCGGACCTGGAGGTTGGGAACCACTGCTTTATCAGATGTACCTTTTACAGATATATTCTTACTCCTAATTAGATTATCGTCTGATTAACATCTCTCTTTACAAATGCATGAAGGTACTTTTAGCAGAGGAACAAAGCTTGAGCTAGTTTGACCATAATGAATTTTTGCTGAGGAAGCAGAAGAAATGGTTCTATGGGTGAGGGTATAATCCTGTAATCTTTTCCGTGTCCTGATACCTCAGGACTAGCATAAGCAAACTTTCTAGACAAGATGTGGCTCATGCAAGAGAAAATGTGCTTTTTAAAATGAACATGGGCCCAGCATAGTGGCACATGCCTGTAATCCCAAGACTTTGGGAGGCTGAGAAGGGAGGATTGCTTGAGCCCAGGAGTTTGAGACCAGCCTGGGTAACATAGTGAGACCTCGTCTCAACAAAAAATTAAAAAAAAAAAAAAATCAAAAAATTAGATGAATGTGGTGGTGCATGCCCTGTGGTCTCAGCTACTTGGGAGGCTGAAGTAGGAGAACCACTTGAGTGCAGGGGGTCAAGGCTTCAGTGAGCCATAATTGTGCCACTGCACTCCAGCCTGGGTGACAGAGCAAAATTCTGCCTCAAAAAATAATAATTTAAATAAAATATAATAAAAAACATGATCTTTCTAATACCCTTTGTTGATCTGAATTTGCAAATTTTCTGTGAGACCTTCTGGCTTATTATAAAGAAATTTGCATGTAAATATACATATTAGAATGTTTCAATCTCAAAGCTATCAATGGGAAATCAAACCACAGAAACATCGAATTTGGTTTTTAATATAGTCTAAGTAGACAACAAAATGAAAATACATTTGTTTATGTTGAAGAGCAAATGATGCACCAAAGAATTCATTTCTAATCTTTTTTTTTTTTTTTTTTTGAGATGGTATCTTGCTCTGTCACCCAGGCTGGGGTGCACTGGCATGATCTTGGCTCACTGCAACCTCTGTCTCCCAGGTTCAAGCGATTCATTCTCCTACCTCAGTCTCTCAAGTAGTGTGACTACAGGCAGCACCACCACGCCTGGCTAATTTTTGTATTTTCAGTAGAGACAAGGTTTCATCATGTAGGCCAGGCTGGTCTCAAACTCCTGACCTCTGGTGATCCTCCCGCCTCAGCCTCCCAAAGAACTGAGATTACAAGCATGAGCCACCACGCCCGGCCTCTGACCGTTTTCTTAATTCACAGTGCCCATAATAAAAGATTCTGTATTCACAGAAATCATGACAGAATGTGAACTCTAGCCTCAATACCTATTTAACATTGGGCAAGTCACTTAACCTTTTTATGTCTAATATTTTTAATCTGTTAGGTGGTAACAATAATTGTATATTACAACATAGGACTATTTACAGTAAGTGCTTAACAATTGTTAGCTATTGTTACTAAATTGTATTTCTGCTGATGGGTTCCAGAATCTTTTCCTGCTTTACTAAACAAAACTCAGGATACTACGTGAAGGAAAAGAAGTGAGTTAGTAGGATTTATTTTTTAAATGCTTGAGTCAAAAGGAGAGCCATTTTTTGCTCAGTATCAAAACTGTTTTCTGATTTTTCTTTCATTTTACTTGAAACTACATTAAAATTTTTTCCAATTTTACAGATGATTGCATGATACTTCCTTTTAAGAGGATGGTAACACATGCAAGGAATGGACTTACTCCCTCTGTTAGGAAAAATCGTGGAAAGATATTACAATTAAAAGATATTTAATTTTAGCTTAATTTTTACCTTATCAAATTACACTTATACATAGCTTTAAAAGCCAGATTGTGTACAGCTTTCAGTGAAGAAGAGATCCTCAGTCCCACAGCTAAATCTCACTCCTCATAGGCAATGATTTCAACTCTTTCACATATTTCTTCTGTCATTTACCTTCTTATCTCTAGAATAACATACACTATTGGCCAAGCATGGTAGCTCATGCCTGTAATCCCAGCACTTTGGTTAGCCAAGGTGGGCAGGTCATTTGAGCCCGGGAGTATGTGATCAGCCTGGGCAACATGGTGAAACATCGTGTGTACAGAAAATACAAAAATTGGCCACCAGTGGTGGTACAGGCTTGTGGGCCCAGCTACTTGGGAGGCTGAAGTTGGAGGATTGCTTGAACCCAGGAGTTTGGCTGTGCAGTGAGCTGTGATCGCATATTACAGCACTCCAGCCTGGGCAACAGAGAGAGACCTTGTCTCAAAATAAAATAATAATAATAATAACAACATACTAATACTATTATTTTTTAAATTATATTCTTATCCATTGACTTCTTACTGTGTAAGATAATAATTTAGTCCTTTTACTACCATACTCCCTTTTCCAAAACACACACTTCTCCCTGCCCTCCATCTTCACAATTCAGTTACTTGTAATTTGGAGTTAAATCAGTTGTCTGTGCTTACATTGTAATAACTGAAAGTGCTACTTAAGGTTGAGCCAAGCAGTGTGCTATGATTCTGTTTCCTGTCCTGCTTAGCTATGTACTTTTCCGGAGTTAATTTTTTTTTTCACTTAGTCATTACTCATTTTGTTGTGGTTTCTTGCTATGTACTCATCACTAATTCATCCTCAAACTCTCTGATAAAGTGATAAAAGCTCCTCTCAAAGTGGTCAAACATATCAGGCATTCTGGTTTCTCAGGTGATCCCACCTGGCCTTCTTCTTCATGTATCTTCTATAGGCTGCTCTGCATCTGTAGCCTGGGACCTCCTTCCACCTCTCTCCCATGTTCAGATCCTTTGTTTCCTGGTCCCATCTTTTGCCTTCCTTGGTTCTGGTGGAGAACCCTGGGAAAGAGTACATGGGAGGTAACTTTTCTGGTCACCTTATCTTTCTGAAAATATCTTTACTTTCAGGAATTTTACACTCAGTTAAATGTCTTTACTGCTTTAGAATTTTAGACTCAGTTAAATCATCAAGTATGGATGATTTAACTGAATCTAAAATTCTAAGTTGGAAATATTTTTTTTTTTCTGAATGTTAGCAACATTGTTCTATTGATTTTCTAGCTTCTAGTGTTACTGTTGAGAAGTTCAGTGTCATTCTGATTCCTAATCCTTTCTATGGTACTTTTTTTTTTCCTTCAGGAGGTATTTAGGATCATCTCTATAGAAAGGGCATTAATCTTCACAGTGTTCCTTTCTGTGTGGTTTAAGAAACCCTTTCTCTCTTGGGTTTTGTTATTGTTTTTACCAACATAAATCCTTGGTCTTAGTCATTCTAAAGTTAAAGACAAACTGAAGAACAATTTAGGAATACGTTTGAAGTACATGTGATAAAAGGCAAGTGTGCAGAGGATGATAACTGTATGTTTTAAAAATAGGAAAAAGAGATAGTTGCAAACTTCTCACCTAGGTGAGATCATCATTTCTCAAACTATATTCCATCAAATATTAAACTCCATAAATATTGCACACTGTGCTTTTTTCTCTCCTTTTCTATATTCTCATGAACATTAGCCTATTAGTTTAAGAATTTCTCGCAGTAAACCTATTTAACCTCACTTAACCTAGCATTGCCTAAATTTACTTTATCACCACATTTTTTTTGTTTGTTTTTAATTATTTTTAAAGGAACATTATTAATATATGTGTTACACAGTTGGGGAAATGCCAGATAAGACATAGACTTTCCTGGCTGCTAAAGAGCAATTAAGCATTGGAATGAGTAACCAAGAGGAGCTGTAGACTCTCCTTTTCCAGAGGCCTTTAAAACAGGACATCTGTTTTAGGCGTAGTCCTGTTTAAACAATAGAGCTTTACTGGCGTTTCTTCCTCTTCCTGTCCCCTAGTGGTAGTGTTGGAGGCTTTTAGCCCACCTTTTATATGACTGTAGTACTCTGGTGACTAATGTGTACACAGATTACCGTTATACTATTAATATTAATTATATTTATTGATAGCTTATTAAGTATCCAGCCCTATGGTAGTGCTCTACATATATGATCTAATTTAATCCTCACAACAACTCTAGGAGGGAGGCAATATTAATATTCCACAGATGGAGATTAGGTATGAAGAGATCACAGAACTGCCAGCAATAGGGCTGGATTTGAACCTCATACACCTGACAGCAGACTGTGCCCATCCTTCTTCACCATTGATGTTCAGAACAGCAACCTGCACAAAGCAAACGAACAAATAAAATTTGTTTATCTGTACTAACTATGTAAAAACGAACCAAAATAATGCTTACTTTATTAGACTATTCAAGACTATTTCCTAAACCTTTTTATTAGAGTTCATGACTTTTGTTAGAAACAAATTCTGTTACAGATTTAGTTCTTCTGCATTTTATTCTGTGATAATTTGCCATCCAGGAAATGGTTCCTTACAAGAGACTTTTTCTCTGATAAATTTAATGCCGTTCATATACATGAACTAAAGAGTCCCAAAAAATAAATCTAGATCTATGAAAAGTGGCAAAGATTAAAAGTCCCATTTTCAGCATATTTACATATAGTAACAACTTGATAACGCAGCACTGAGAATGCCAGGCTAAGAGAAGCCAAGCTGGGCTCCCGTCCAGTCAGCCTCTAGCTCACCAGGAAACCCTGAACAGGTCACTTTGCCTCATTTTCTTTATCTGTCAAATGAGAACTTAGATGATCTCAAAACGGCCTTTTCTGCTCTAGTGTTTCAGGATGATTCTTGTCCCTGGATGTCAGCTGTCATGATGGGAGAGGAATTGGTAAATTCCCAGGTCAGTTTACAATGCAGAGTGATCTGATCTGCATGAATCAGTAAGGAGGAGCTGGATGAACAAGTGGGAACCACAGTTATGAGTACCATGATATTAACCTGAAACAAATGAGAGGGGATTAAAAAATCAATGGTTAAGTGTCTTTTAAGGTCATTTCCAACAAAGCTACAAAGGACCTATGAAAGGCTTTTTAGGTATACATACTCTTGTTGCCTAGCTGAACACATTTATTTAATAAAGCTTTTATTTGAGAGTTACTCTTCATAGTACATCCCCTGCCCCCCGCCTATGTGGCACATCATAGGTGTTCAGTGAAGATTTGTTGGAACTGTTAAATAATTGTTGAATACAGAACTGGAAGATCAGGAAGAGATAATGTTTTTCTAACCAGTATTCAGTATAAAGTCATTAGAGTGGGCTGTGGAGCTTCAGACCATCTGGATTCAATGGCAGTTCTACTGCTTAGTAACTACTTTTAGGCAAGTCACTTACTTCCAGGTCCATGCCTCAGTTTTCCCGTCTTCAAGGTAAATTATAAGTGCACCTACTTCCTTGGGCTGGTTGTGAGGATTAAATGACACAATCCAGGCACAGTATTTGGTGCAGTACTTTGCACAGATTTAGTGTCCTGTTAATATTAGCTAAGTAAATATGAAGGAGATGCAACATTTTACCAGCTATTCTAATTATAGTTTTTCTTTTCTCTGCGTAAGGGGCAACATAAAACCCCAAAGGTAATGCATATAGTTCTGATGTTCAATGTTATAATTTAGCATCTTTTCCAACCCACTTTCATAGTCCCAAATAATGATGCCTATTGGATTAAAGAAGTTACTTTATTTTTGCACAAAATTGGTTGTATTTTTGTTGAAATAATTCATCCTTTGAGTATTCTGAAAAGTCTGCTCATTGACTGGAATAGCGTTTAAAACCAAGTTTGAAGGTCTAAGATAATGGCACACATCCATGTCCTTGCTCACAAGGTCTGCCTAAAGACTTTTGCCTGCTTGAAACACTCCGAAGGTTGTGAAATTGATGGCTACACATACCTCTGATGCAAGACAACTCAGTGTCACCAGCTGGGGAGTTAAGACACGTTCTTGTTACTGAGAAGGGCTGTTGTTCATGCAAATATTTTGTTCATTTGTTCTTCCATGGGTAATTGCATGGAGTAACAAAAAACACCTCCTCAACTTACAGCTTGGCAGAAACAGTAGCTTATGTTTTCTAGAGACAAAATTAGAAGCAGGCTTTCTGGACCTATCTCTAAGTCAAAATAAAGTAAAATGTCTAGGGAACCACTGTGCCTCCCAGTAACTGTGGTCCATGGAATAATGTTGTTTAGGTCAAGGTGTCCCAGAGAAAAAGGGAAGGGAGAAGGGCAGGGGGAAGGGGGAAAGTGTGTTTGGGCAGTGTTTTCATAGAGATGAAGAAACAAGCTGTTTTTCTTTCTTACTTTGTCCTTTCCACTTAAAAAAAAAAAATAAGAAAACCATCTAGGACCCTAACCTTCCTCTTGTAATCAGCAAAAGAGAAAAAACTGAGTATACATTGTTGAGGGGGAAAAGTTATGGCCTAAATTGTATTTTATTGATAATATTGAAGAATAACATCTTTTGGAGGGAACTTAAATATTAGCAAAACTAAACTGTTGAGAAAGTATCATTGTTTTTCCATCTTTAGTAGCAATGTGCAAATTTACTCTTCTGTATAAAATATGATCATCAGTTGGCAAGAATTTGATAAAAAACAACTGTGCATAGAATATGCACATGGGAAAATAGAATAATAAGATGCTCCAGACTGGAAATCTAATGATGAGATATTTATCCAGATAATTATATCCAAGTTGAAGGAGGAGGTACAAAGTGCTGTGGGAACACAGAGAATGGAGTGTTTTTAAGTTGGAGGATTCATAGTTGGTTTCATGGAGAAAGTAGCATTTGGACTGGGTTTTGAAAGACAAGCAGGCTTGTGGCATTAAGAGGTAAGGGGTAGGAAGAAGATACAATAGCCTTGGTAACCTGCATGACTAAAAGAGGCAGGGCATGTTTAACCTGGGCAGATAGTATGATATGCCCAGCCACCAGATATGCCAAGAATGGGAGCGAGATCTGTGATAAGCAGTGGAAATAAGGCTGAAAAAATAAGTTAGGGCTGAGACATGGAGGGCCTTGAATGCCAGGCTAAAAGCCCAGTGTTTCTCCTGCTTTTCCACCAGTATGCCCTTACTAGTAGAGGACAGCAAAAACATACTATTCCTGGGCGGAGGAAGGGTGAAGTATGGAGGATGTTTGGGGCAGTAAAACTATTCCATGTGATGCGCTAACGAATGCATGATATTATCCCTTTGTCAAAACCCATAGAACTCGGCCAGGTGTGGTGGCTCACACCTGTAATGCTAGTACTTTGGGAGGCCAAGGCAGGTGGATCGCTTGAGGTCAGGAGTTCGAGACCACCCTGGCCAACATAGTGAAACCCCTTCTCTACTAAAAATACAAAAATTAGTTGGGTGTGGTGGCACATGCCTGTAATCCCAGCTACTAAGGAGGCTGAGGCAGGAGAATCATGTGAACCTGGGAGGCCAAGGTTGCAGTGAGCCAAGATTGTATCACTGCACTCCAGCCTGGGTGACAAAGCAAGACTCCACCAAAACAAACAAACAAACAAAAAATTCCATAGGACTATACAATACAAAGAGTGAACCCTAATGTAAACTGTGGACTTTAGTTAGTAATAATATGTCAGTATTGGTTCATGAGTTGTAGCAAGTATACTACACTGTGCAAAGTGTTAGTAATTGGGGAAAACCATGTTTTATAGAGAGGGGACAAGAGGCTGGGTAAGGACCATTATGAGAGTTCTGTACTTTCTGCTCAATTTTTACGTAAACCTAAAACTGCTCTAACAAAAATAAAGGCTACCGTGAGAAACAAAACAAAAAACAGCATCCTTTTAGCCATGAGATGTACTACAAGTACAAAGTTTTCTAGGAATTTCATGTAATATCTTTAAAAATTACATGAACTTTTCATCCTATTACTTAACACATAGATGGGTATTTTGACATTAAAAATGTTCCCCCAAATTTCCACAATATAATACATAACCCCTAGATATATGATTCTTGTATTAAGTAGCATGGCTTTGGCTGGGCACAGTGGCTCACGCCTATATTCCCAGCAGTTTGGGAGGCTGAGCCAGGAGGATCACTTGAGCCCAGGAGTTTGAGACCAGCCTGGGCAACTTAGTGAGATGCTGTTTAAAAGAGAGAGAGAGTGCTGGAGAGAAAAGAAAGAAAGAAGCATGGCTTTGTTTGATAGGAAGTCATTGAAGTTGTATGTTAAAAATGAAACAAAGAAAAATTAAACCAATAAAATCATGAGCAACGAATTTCTCTCACACTCCAGATATTTTTGCATCCTTATTTTCATTTCCCAGTATTTATACAGAACATATCCACTATCTTTAACTCACTTCATCAGCCTTTATTCTGTATGCAGAAAACTTTGCAATAGCATAGTGAGAAATAGGTAATAAACCCACCTTTGTGGATATTGACAATGTAGGCAAGGGAAATATAGTTTAATATGAAAATAAGTTATACTAAGAAAAGTAGATACAGAAATGAAAATTAAGCCTACCAATGAGATAGACAAAGAAAATGGAATGACCTGGGTTAGACAGATTTGGATGAATTTTGCAACAGAAGACACAGTTGGATGGGTGCCCTGTCTTTAGGAGCAGACTTTTTTCTTGATGTCATTGAGACCTAGAATGACCTTTAACTATCACCAGTGCACATTCCCCTTTTTGGTGTGCAGTGTTGACACTGAAACACAGATAACTTAAGGTTGTTTGGATACTTATTTAAGTAGACACGTGAACCCATACGGTGCCTAATTAGGCCTCTTGAAACCACAGACGCACATTCACAGAACTACTCTCGTTTTATTTTCAAGGCATTTTATCTTGTGAAGATCACAGCTGATATCTTCAATCTCATATAAAAGTTTGCTTTGGAGTGAATTTCTTAGCAATCCGCTTGCTAAGAAAAAGCAAGTGATATTAAAGTGAGGGCATTAAAATAAAATAGCTCCAAAAAATGATAAATAAATAAAAGGAAAGAAAAAGGAAAAGCAAGAGGCCCATTCACAGATACACAGAGGAGAGTGGCCCCTCCTCCATAAGCCTTTTTCATCAGTGAGAGAATCAAGAGAATTCTGTATATACAGAAGAGGGTTTCAGGGTCAGTCTTGAGTTTGAATTTCCTACTTCCTAGCTAGAGAACCTTGGGCAAGTCACTTTACTTCTTTGGTCCTAGCTTGCTTATCTTTGAAGTGGGAATAATATTTCAGATTATGCAGAAGAAAAGGTAGGCAGTACCAGGCATATGGTAAGTGCTTGATCAATACCAGTTTGCTTCCCACCTTCCCTGCTCCTTCTGCTAAAACTTCACAGCCATCTCATTAAGTCATCAATGTATTTAGTATTTAATAAATATTTAATGAGCACCTACTATGAGTCAAGTCCTTTGTTAGCCAGTGGTGATATGATTGCAAACAAGAAAGATACCCCTGTGATTTGAGGAGCCCTCTTTGTTGAACAGCTCATCTCTGTCTCCAGTGTGATCAGTCCTGAATTAATACAGCTCTCCACTGGTGTTTTTGACCACAGAGTTAACATTTAAAATATTTATGACTGCTTTTTTGGCACCACTTTGAATAACAAACTGGTTTCAGGTAAACAGAGTCCAGGTACCTATTGCAGAAAGATTTCCAGTCTACTCACTCAGTGGCTCACAAGTTCACATGAAGTACTTAGCACCAAAAGAGTTTTGTTGCACTTACTGTGACAATAAATCATGTTTTAGAAGAAAATGCATGTGGTATACATGATCTTGGGCAGATGATTCATGAAACTCACTATTCTGTGGCTTTAGAATCCATATAAGTATTTTTCTTTTGTCTTTTACGTGTTTTCTTGTTTCTCTGTTTTGTTTTGTTTTTGTTTAGGGGTGGTTTAAAATTAATGCTGGGCTAGAGTCTGATTTTGTTACTCTCAGGTATGACCAAATGTTTCTGCATATCTCTCTAACCTTTCTATTTTCAATATGGGGCAAACTTTCTCCTCTTTAAGAAAAGGCGCATCCACAGAAAAGATAATTATTTGAGCAATTTTTTGTAATACAGAAGTAATAATTGAGTAATTTTTCCCTTTAAAATTTTATTTTTGTTTTACTTTAAGAATAAAATTATTTTAGGATTTAATTAAAGAATTAAAAGAAGTTGATTTACCTAAATTTAACTTGCCAACTTTTCTGTTACACAAAGGCATTATAAATACAAATAGAATAGCAAAAATTTCATCCTAAAGAGAAAACTATTTTGGGCGTCTACTTTCAAGAGAGCAAAATTGTGCTGGACCCCTGTGCACACTTTAAAAACAATCATTAACAGATTGCATCAAACTAGAAACTTCTTCACAGCAAAGGAAATAATTAACAAAGTGAAAAAGACAGCCTACAGCATAGGGAAAATATTTGCAAATCATACATCTGATATGGCGTTAATATTCTTAAATATATAAGAAACTCAATGAACTTGATTGCAAGAAAACATAACCCAGTTAAAAAATAATAAAGGACCTGAATATCCATTTCTAGAAAGAAGGCATACAAGTGGCTAACAGATACATGAAAAGGTACCCACCATCACTAATGATCAGGGAAATGCAAATCAAAACCACAGTGAGATATCATCTCACACCCGTTAGAATGGCTGTTATCAAAAACACAAAAGATAAGAAGTGTTGGCAAGGATGTGAATAAGAGGGAGCCTTTGTATACTGTTGGTAGGAATGTAAATTGATAGAGTCATTATGGAAAACAGAATGGACTGCCTCAAAAAATTAAAAATAGAACTACCATATGATGCAGCAATCCTACACTTTTGGATATATATCCAAGTGAAATGGAATCAGTATGTTGAAGAGCTATCTGCTCTCCCATGTCTACTGCAGCATTATTCTCAATAGCCAAGATGTGAAATCAACTTAAGTGTCATGGTGAATGGATTTTTGAAAACACAGAATATATATGTGTATATATAGTATATATACATATATACACATACAGATACATATGTACACACACACACAATAGAATATTATTCAATCTTAATAAAAGAAGGAAATCCTGTCATTTGTGACAACAGAGATGAACCTAGAGGACATTGTGCTAAGAGAAGTAAACTGTAAACTGCGTGGTATTTGACACAGAAAGACAAATACCACATGATCTCACTTAGGCATGGAATCTAAAAAAGTCAAACTCATGAAAGCAGAGAGTAAAATGGTGGTTGCCAGGGGCTTGAGAGTGATTGCATGGGGAGATGTCAGCCAGAGTTTCAGTTATGCAGGGTGAGTTCTGGAGACCTAAGTGTAGGTCACCTTTAGCATGGTGACTATAGCTAGTGATGCTGTATGGTATATTTTAAATTTGCCAAGACAGTAGATCTTAAGTGCTCTCACTACACATATTCATACTTAAAAAGGTAACTGTGAAATGATGAATATGTTCATTAGCTTGATGATGGTAATCGTTTCACAGTAAATACATAAATTAAAACATTACATTGTATACCTTGTTGTTTTGTTTTGTTTTATTTTGCTTTGTTTTTGAGATGGAGTCTTGCTCTCTTGCCTGGGCTGGAGTGCAGTGGTGTGATCTTGGCTCACTGCAACCTCCACCTCCTGGGTTCAAGCCATTCTCCTGCCTCAGCCTCCCAAGTGGCTGAGATTATAGGCACGTGCCACCACACCCAGCCAATTTTTCTATTTTTAGTAAAGACAAGGTTTCGCTGGTCTCAAACTCCTGACCTCAGGTGATACTCCTTCCTTGGCCTCCTAAAGTGCTGGGATTACAAGTGGGCCACAGTGCCTGGCCTGTGTGCCTTAAGTTTAAAAATTTGTGTCTATTATACTTCAATAAAGCTGGAAAATTTTTAAATAAATAACAGCAGTAATTAACAGATTCAACTGATGACCTTCTGTAGAAGATAATGAGAGCAGAACTGTTAGCAAGACATTTATATGGATATACTATATGTGTCTGCACTGTTTCAGGATTCTCTACTATGATACCTGGGTAAAGGATGACTTCCTTCCTATCATAAAACAGCTTGGACAGCACTGAGAAGATGGTTATGTTCTTTTCTCTTGTTTTAAGAGCCTAGAAGAGATTTCGCCAAAGATGGTTATGTTCTTTTCTCTTGTTTTAAGAGCCTAGAAAGAGTCTTCGCCAAAGACTCTTTCATTTCCCTTTCTGAAACTCTGTGAGATTGCTCTGTTCTCCAGGACTTAACTTCACGACTGGTCTATTTTTCCTTTCAGAAATTACCATGGTTGACACAGAGATGCCATTCTGGCCCACCAACTTTGGGATCAGCTCCGTGGATCTCTCCGTAATGGACGACCACTCCCACTCCTTTGACATCAAGCCCTTCACTACTGTTGACTTCTCCAGCATTTCTACTCCACACTATGAAGACATTCCATTCACAAGAGCAGATCCGATGGTTGCAGATTATAAGTATGACCTGAAACTTCAAGAGTACCAAAGTATGATGTTTATTTTCATTTTTCAGACTCCTAAGACTGGAATTGGACTAATCTCTCAGTAACCCTGTAATACTCCAGAGACTAGAACTCTAATAGAGAAGGCATTCATCATTGATTTATTCACCCATTTATCCATGAAACATTAGGTATCTATGAAATGCCAGAAAGGAAGTTGGCCCCAGGTCAATCTTGCCTTTCCCGCACTCTATCCTTCCTCTCTTCTTTCCTTTCTTGCTTACTTCCTTCTTAGGAACATTTTCTACCCTGATTACACTGCCATTTGTATCTCTAGCTAAGAGTCCATCATCCACACTTTGAATTCTTTGGGCCCTTGTAAGTTAATAAGTAACAGTTCCAGGTCACCTTATAGTATATAACTTATCTTCACTAAATTACTGCTACTACAGTACATTTTTTTCTAATCTGTCCTTTCAGAATTTTATACTGAAACCTACTTTTGAGCACAAATTTGTCTTAACATTGTAGTCTATTGATAAATTTTCATGCCATTAACTAAATTAACATCAAAACATCAGACGCAAGGAAAATAAGAACTGCACTTTTTGAGATAAAATGTATTTCTGTAATGCTGTTTCCTTGATTTTTATCATGTGTGGGCTGACATGCTGGTTTTCCAAAGCCATCACTATGTAACTGGCAACCATTACTTGACAATAAGTAAGAACTTCCTGTATTTCTGGTGGTTTTTAAGATAAATAATATGCTTGGTTATATTTATCTGTGTGGTTTTTAGTTAGAGCCTAATATGGAAATTTAATAGCCATGGGCCTAACTAGTAAAAGGTAGGCCTTACTTCCATTAAGTTCCCCCATCTTCTGTCAAAGATTATTTCACAAACCACATCTTTTGACTGAACACTGATGGTAACCTGGGCTCTTAATTTTCATGCACCTTGAAGCAAGGCATTCACAGCAGTGTTCCTTTTGTGGTTCTTTTGCAAGCGTTGTTCTAAAGTACTTCTAAAATTTAATATTTAAATAAAATGTATAATTTAATATTGTGATGAATACCAAAGACAGAACATTTGCTAGCAAAATAAGCTTCCTTGTCTCAAAGCCTCTATGTTGTCTGTTAGAGCTGTAGTATTGCAGGGTACTGGGGGTCATAGAACCACAGACTTAATTCCCATTCCCATTTTATACTTACAGGTGAGGCTTAGAGATGTTGTAACTTGCCTGTGATTACACAGCCTTCTTTTTCTTGCCTTAACTCTAGTGTTTTTTTCATGTCCCATTGTGCTTTTATACTGAAACAATACAAATACGGCATGAAGGTATGCTATGGTGGCTTGCCCTTTTGCCTTTTTAGGACTGTTTTCATGGGATAATTATCCTCTCACGTTTCCATACACAGGTGCAATCAAAGTGGAACCTGCATCTCCACCTTATTATTCTGAGAAGACTCAGCTCTACAGTAAGCCTCATGAAGAGGCTTCCAACTCCCTCATGGCAATCGAATGTCGTGTCTGTGGAGATAAAGCTTCTGGGTTCCACTACGGAGTTCATGCTTGTGAAGGATGCAAGGTAATTTTTAAAAAAAAATCTTTCTTCAAAGAAATTGTTGAAACCTTATTATTTCATTTGAGCAGAACCCTTTCTTTAGGTGGTAAAAAATATGAGTTTTTTTTCTTCTTAGAAGAGTGTCACCCAGACTGGAGTACAGTGGTACAATCAGAGCACACTGCAGCATTGAGCTCCAGGGCTAGAGTGATCCTCCCACCTCAGCCCCTCAAAGGATGATGTAATATTTGAGAGCCTAAGAAAGTGGATAAAAGCAGGGCTGCTTTACCCCATGTTCCTTTCTCCAAATTGATTCTTTGAGACACTGATTTAATTTAACCCTTGCAACTTGCAGATTTTTACAAAAAGGTGACTTCTCCAAGGTGTCGTGGCAAGACAGTGATTATCTGGCATCAGGATGCAGATTTCCTGCATTCCCTAGTTGTTTATTTATTTATTTTTTTGCTGTACCACGTAATATATATACACAAGATTTTACATATTGTCTGTATATACATGTCTTTGGATCCCTAGAGCAATCCTCTAAGGTTGGGCTTCTTTATGGCCACATTACAGATGTAGAAATTAGAAGTTTGTAAGGCTTGCCAAGGTCATCCCTTAGTAAATGGCAGCCCTCAGTCTAGACTCCGACTCCTTAGGTGATATTTGGTCTCAAAGCAGTGTCTCATGTTTCCTTATTCCAGCATCAGTGTGAGCCACATACATGGACAGGCAAGGAGGTATAACAGTGTGGGAAAGGAGATACTATTTCTCCTTACCTCTTTCCTTTGCGAAAAGGGTATTTTGAAAAATTCAGACATTTAGTAATATATTGCTTAATCATTAAGAAAATATGTGAATCCACATATATTTTGATATGCAGTCTTTTAAGATATTTTTAGAATATGCAATGAAAAAATAGTACTAATTATATATTCATTGCACATAATAAACTGTTCATAAATATTTACCTTATAAAATAAGCACCTGCTTAGGCTTTTTATTCAACATAAAGATACGGAACAGCAGTTAGGAAAGAGTTAGGACATCTTGGCTCCTTAATGGATGATGGGCTGAAAAAGAAAACTGATTTTTATTGAATTCTTACTACATGCCAGATACTGTGTGAGGTAACATTTTCATACATCAGTATTTTACCACATCCTACCCAGGTTTCTCATCTATAAAATGATTGTGGCTGGGTGTGGTGGCTCACGCCTATAATCCCAACACTTTGGGAGGCCAAGACAGGAGGATCTCTTGAGCCCAGGGGTTCAAGACCAATCTGGGCAGCATAGCAAGATACCATCCCTACAAAATTTTTAAAAATTAGCCAGACACGCTGGCATATACCTGTAGTCCCACCTTCTCTGGAGGCTTAAGTAAGAGGATCACTTGATCCCCAAGACTGCAGTGAGCTATGATTGCACCACTGCACTCCAGCCTGGGTCACAAAAGCAAGACCCTAACTCCAAAAAAATAAATAAAAATAAAATGATCACACTGAATTAGATGATCTTAAAGTTCCTTCAATTCAAACAGTTTTTACTCTAAAGGTAACCTAATATAATGAAAAGGGACAAATCAGAGGTCAGCTTTCCAAAGTCACTAGCCAGTCACATATACACTGTATCCCTCAGGCCCACCATGTGTAAAACGACTTGGTTAGATTGACTATGCAAGGTCTTATTCATCTCTAAGATCTGTAATTTCAAAATGACACTTTGAAATACTCCTGGCAAGAGATACTTTCATTGAAAACACTAAAACCCATTCATTCTGTAATTTAAACCAAATTAAAATATTTATGACCTTATATGAAATCATTGTATTAAGTCAGTTTTCTAAGATCTTGATAAGAACATGTCATTTTATTGAGTTAGATTTTTTATTGAGTGTTTTTGTAGTTTTATTGAGTTTTATTGTTAGATTTAATGAGTTAGAGTTTATTTTTACTGAGTTAGGTACCATTTTTGAGTGAGTAAATTGTTGCTAAATTCTGAGCCACATTTATGTGAAGAAACCATTCTGTTTAGGTCATGTTGATAATTTACAACTGCAAACAAATAAAAACAGCGTGATTGGTTTAGGTTTCCACAATAAGTTATTGTTTTTTATGGGCTAGCAAAGCACTTAGAAAACTAAAACCTTTAAGCAAATAGTTCCACCATAATCCTATTAGTCACAAATTTGTGGAAAGCTAACATTATTGAGAACAGCTGAAAATGGAAATACAGGAACATTGTCAGTAGTTGGTTATAGGAATAAATCTAAGTTCTGAGGGCACTAAAACTTAGAAGCAAGCAGGGAAGAAGAGTAGCAAAAAGAGAAATGAGAAGAGGAAATCCAAGTGCCTTCAAGTTAGGATGAGAAAGGGTAGAAGGCAGAGAGGAAGGAAAAACACTTAATGAAACCTGAAGACTCTAGGGGAGTCCTTAACCTAACATAGATTAAAAAACAAATGAAGAAAACTAAGAGTATTGTGTACTAACCTGCAGTAATTCGCAAACCATCCAAACTGTGGATTCCAGAATTCCTAGACTAAAATGTAAAGAAAGTTTTACTCACTTGGGAAGGGAAAATAGACATCTACACATTTTAAAGTTAAGAATAAGGAAAACATTATTCTTGGAAAATGTAAACATTTAGTAATATACTACTTAATATTTAAAAAATGTGAATCCACTTACCTTTTCATGTACAGTCTTTTAAAATTATTTAATATGTTCAATGAATAAAATAGTGTTTATTATATACTCATTGCACAGAATAAATTGTTCATAAATATTTACATTATAAAATAAACCCTGCCTCGGTTGGGGTTTTTATTTGGTGTAAAGATTAAGAACAGCAGTTAGGAAAGAATTAGAACATCTTGGTTCCTAAATAGATGATGGGTTGAAAAAGGAAACTTTTTCTTGAATTCTTATTCTGATTTTTATTGAATTCTTACTATGTACCAGATATTGTATGAGGTACATTTACATACATCATTATTTAACCACATCCTATTCAAGTTTTCTCATCTATAAAATGATTCAGATGATATTGGTAGTATGTGGTTACATAATGAAACAATATCATTTGGCTTCTTCTAGTATACATTAGCAGTTCCCAAAGTGTGGTCTGGGGCTTGGGCCCTTTCAAGGCATCCATGAAGTTGAAACTATATTCATAATAATGATTTTTATTACCTTTTTCACTCTCATTCTGTGTATGTGGAGTGTTCTGGAAGCTACGTGATGTAGGATGATGATATAACTCTGGTGGCTAATGGAATGTTTGCTTGTATGTTCTTGTATATAATAATTTCTCAGTTGTACTTTTTAGTTTGATAAATGTCAATAATGATGGCCCAAATAAACAAAAGCTCTTTGGGGTCTTCTATAATTTTAAAAAGAGTAAAGGGGTCTTGCAGCCATAAAGCCTTCAGCCTCATTCTGAAGAAATGCAGTTACTTATTAGTTGCTGCTTAGGAACTAAACAAAATTGCTGCCACATTCTGAATACTGCTGCATTAGACCAGTGGCTGTCAGTAATCAAAAACATCCCCTTAGCTTATCAGCAATACGCAACCAAAAGCCAGGAAAATGGAATTAGCAAATGTGTTTAACTCATCTGCATGTATTTTCTGAGAGGTTTTTTGGCAGCTTCAGATTTGCTGTTGCAGTAGAATGTGGGTTATATTAATAATTAAAATATAGTTGACCACAAAGCTGCAAGCTAATTTATGGACAGAAAAGAATAGTGAAACACAGCATAAAACAACTGTTGGTAGGTCTTCTTAAACAGTTTTACAAAGTAAATGGAACAGGTTTATATTAGTGATTCTTGCTAAAATTTGGTCAGACATATGGGAATGAATAGATTGGACTTGAATTAAGATGAAATAGTGACAGATTCTTGGGTGTGTTAATATTGCAAACTTATATAAAATAAAACCTTTAGCAACTGAAAGATATGTATACTTTAGAGCTTGGAAAGCTATCATTTATTTGTTGTTTACATGTTGGACACATTTTTTTTCTTTAGTAAGTTCCATCCTATTTTTTATCTTTTGTGAAAGATCATTTTAGAACCATAGGCATACCTAAAGATACAAGTAAATACAATCTACCACATAATACGATGTAATCTACGTTTGTATTTCTGTATACAAAAGAATGTCGTCTGCTTGTTAGCCACTTGTATGTCTATTCATCCCTACTTCAGAAAGAGTTTTAATTCAGACCACTTTTTGGGAAAGCCTAGTGCAAGCCCCACACAGGGCTGTTAATCTCATTGTAAAAATCAACACCATTCTGAGGTCTCATTGTCCCTGATGTTTTGTTAAAACTAAAGCAATTAAGGAGAGGCCAGAGAAAAGTTTTCAAATGATTGAAAAATACATATCACCTTCTAACAGACAAGTGTGCAGACATTAGAATAAATAATATATACACAAAACAATTTTCTGAAATGGTGACTGATGCATTTCCAACATACTATGTCACAGACTTCATGATCATCAGAAGAGTAAATTGAAAATGCATTGTTCTGTGGACTCTGATATAATAAAGAACAGTGTTGTTAGAGTGTTTCTTCATCAGTAATATGAAGAAAATTTGGAGAAGCCAGCCTTGTTCTATAAATCAATAAATAATTCTACAGAAAAGCACTTGGTAATATCTTTACATCTTCCTCTCTAGATTCCTTGAGTCAAATGACAAGAAAACACTTAGATATCATTAACTCATTGTGGAAAAAAAAAAAAAAAAGTAAAAGCAAGTTCCAAACTACATGCTAAGATCTGTGTGTTCAGTTCAGGAATTTATTAACATATACAGTGCATAATGTTCAGAGTGGTTATTCATTGGAGGACCTTAGATCATCACAAAAAATGTAATACACTTTTCAAAGGCATCAGCTGAGGAATCAAGTCAGAAATTTCCATTGTAAGGATTAAACTGAACAATTCTCTTATCAAAAAGCCTTCGTCTCCTATCCATGCCAAATAACTGAGTACTCTCTGAGCCATCCAGCGG